TTTTTCGGAGAGTACGAAAGGAACACTAACTCTGCTCCATCATACCAACGCAGTCTTCTTTAATCCGGATAATGTACTGGACATTGAAGAAGAGGTGGTGGCGAGTTGTGGACAGCGATATATTATCAAATACCATAGTAGTTTTATTGAGGTACATATAAAGAAATGGTAACCTACAGTTCTTGCTGAAGCTAGAATGTTTATCTGCTGCGTGCACTTTTTTGAGCCTTTGATTTCCTTATTGCTCATGGCATTTTAGGTGTCATGATCTGCCCCGGCAAAGGAGATTTACTGCCCTCGCAAGTTGATTTGGGGTATTTTGTGTTGGCCTCTGACCGTTTTGGAACATTCCACAGTTTCTGCCAACTTCATAGCGCCGTGTTTCAACGATTCAATGCATTAGCAGCTTTTGCGTCAAGAAATTATTATTATTATTTGCATGAGCTGTTGAAGTCTGCATCTTTAAATGCACACAACTTTTTACGTTCTATCTTTTCTAAATCGATCTTAGAGTATTTATACGATCTCCTAATTTGTGCGCAAACATTTCGGCATCAGTTAATTCTCGGCAGAATCTGACTCTTCTTCGAACCTATCCAGTCATTCTTCATTGCTTTCTGCCTTATTTTGGACCCCTCCTCATACAAACCCTCTAGCGAGTCAATCTTTGACTGTAAAAGTTTTCACCTGCTTTGTTTTATACAATGGATGTTAACAGACGCATCTTCAAGACTTTTTCGCCGCGATCTTCGACGTTTGCTTTCATAACCTTTATAAGAGCTCGGGAATATTTTCATAAGATTCTAATGAAATCAAGGATTTTGAAATCACTGATTATGAGAAATGCTGCTGTTGAACGCTCTTCGACAATTTGGCTACTTTTGAGCCTTGATTTGAGATCTTGCTATAGATCGAAAATTTAAAGGTATTTCCAAAGTCTAACTCACCTATCGTCTGCTATCGAAGGGCAAAACAAGGAGTATAGACGTCCTAAAGTTGCGCTAGGCTACTTGTTGTGCTGCCAACAGGAGCAGGATACCTGCCTGATCGGTCTTATTTGGCCAATGCCATAAAATGTTAAGCCTCTAGATAATGCTTGGCTCGGGTGCTTGGGCTTGTGCTATGGCGCTTCTAAGAAAAAAACAAGGTGTTTAGTAGAAATATGTCGCCCCGCCTCCGATAAGCAAGACTGTGAGATTGCCAACTGCAGAGCTTCTGGCGTTAAAACCGGGAAAAGTTGTGGGATGCGACGTTTTGCGGCGATGTTGATGTAAGACTATGTTTCCTCTTCAAACTTATAGGTAACTGTGCTCCATGTCATATTTGACAAATACTGTTCTCTAAGCTATGAGATAGCGGCATGGAAAATCACCGCTATATCCAATCGAAGTTCAAGAAAAGCATGGGCTGCGCATGGTAGTTAAGCAAATACTGCAAATGCCAGATATAGCTGCGAGGAAATTCGCACTTGGCAGGTTTTCTCGAATTCTCGTCGCTTTTTCCTGGAGAAGTATTTAGGCATCCTGGGGGGATCTAACGCCTCTCAAACGCTAATTGCTTCGTTTACTCATCAGATCAGGCTGGGCAATGCCAATAAACAAACATGTAAATCCAAGACGAAGAAAAGGGAATATTCAATGATGTTTTATGGTGTCGATTTTCAAATTGGAATGAAGTGATGATGAAAAGAGGAATAGCCTTATGGCATTCACTCCTGCTCTCACTGATTTTATACTTAAGCTAGCAGAGGCTTCAATGTGTTAAACGGATAGTGTTTTTCGACTTACAGCTCGTTCGGGCAAAACTGAACAAGACATAATCTTAAATCGAATGAATCCCTTAACTAGCCTAACTAAAAACTACTAGTTCATGAGTGTACCTTCATTTGAACGAAAAGTAACTTTTCAAAAGTCACCAGTTTGCGCTATGGCTCTCAAAATAAAACCGCGAAAAATCTGCAACACGCTCTACTAATGGAGCTACCATATTAGGTCATTATGGAAAAAAAATATAAGGATAGATTATTTCTCCGTACTTGCCTAGTAATGATCTCACATCATCATCGTGAAACAGAACATTGGAATTTCCTGCAAGACATTCCGGGAATCATAAATCTGATGCATGACATTGTGAAGAAACGTTATGTCAATTTCATTTTCTTCCTTCTCTTGTTTTGATTTCTACGTCCGTTCATCGCGCTGCGCAGAAAGTCTGAGGAAGATAAATGCAGAGCAAAGGGTGAACCTAGAGGATAGCTTGGGAAGTGTTAGTTTCCTCCAAGACTCTACAATACCCGCTCCAGAAAAAAGCGAGGTATGGAAACTCCTGCGCGCCTTCCTTTGATTAGCGATTGTTTAGCATCAGGGAAACTTGCTGTGACAACCATCATCGCCGCTTAACTGCTAATGCGTGAATGATATATTGACTTCTGCTGTAGATGACAATGAGACCATCTAGCTTCATTAGAAAACAGCAGTACTTTCAAACTTTCGGATAGAAAGATCAGATATTAGTGAAGAGTTTCAAAATATGTCTTGTTCTTTTTTGATTAAGACTCTATCTAGTTAAACTCGTACATACATGAATCATAGAAACCGTGGGTATACATATAGAATGGTGATGGTCGAAGGGAATTTCTTTGCTGGAAGATTGACCTAAAAGGGACTGCTTATACATGAGCGGACATGAGAACACTTTTTTGTCCACTTGTGTAGAATTTTATTATAGAATTTAATATAATCTGTTTTATCTTTTGCAACATCTTGCGAACAGTTTCCCAACAATTAAGTCATTTTTTACTTTCATTGACTTTCACCTATTGGTCCCCCTCAGTTTCCCTCAGCAATCGATGAGTTGAGAGACGATTGTGTTTGAAGCTTTGCAATAAGATTTTTTTGCTCATAACTGAGCTTCATTTTAAGAAGAGCTTTACCATAACATCCATGTAACGCTTTTTTTTGCGTCACAAAAACTTACGCCTTAGAGGATTAAGCTCAGTGAATTAGCTCAAAAGAAAATGTAAATGCCATTTTAAGAGATTTGAAACCTTCTAAAATTATATTTGCATTGTCACCTGCTTCGCAATGGTCCGCTCAAACTTCAGTAGCTGGATAAGTAGCATAATCAATGGCAAAAGAACTACCAGAGAATGCTAAGTGTTTCAAGGCTAATTTTTCATCAGCTCGAAAAACCAGCGAAACTATTTTCCTGTAATTTTACAATCTCTGAATTCTAATAAGCTATAGATGAAAGTGTTGAATTTAGGGG